GGGGGGGGGCTGTTTGCAGTCAAAGTTTATACAATGCAATAATTTAATTAAAAAAAAATAAAAAGAAACGTAAGGGCCAGTGTATAAAGATTATACCAGCATTAATAGTGAAAATATTGTGTATTAGATATAATTCTGCAATATTCTATGTATATATAATTTACAGGTAAGGTGGTGTAAAAATCCAAGATATCTGATTATAAAATTTTTTTTTGATTTTTTTTTTGTTTGGTTTTGGTTTTGGGGGTTTGGGTCGGTTGGTTTTTTTTTTTTTCGGTTGTATGGAGATTTTAGACGCTATCTTTATGATTTTTTTTTAATGCTTAAGTTACATTTTTATAGACTTAAGCGCTGTTTTAATGGACATTGGACGCTGTTTTTTGAAATTCAAAAAAAAAAAAAGAATTAAAAACAACTTTTGCTGAAGTCCAAAGATTTTTATTGCTGCATTTCACACGACTGTGAACCGAATAAATAGTTCTCCTATTTGTTCTATGAGTTTTACCTTTTTTTTTCCCCCTCCCCCCCCTCCCCTTTTCCTTTTCTTTTTTTTTTTTCTTTCTTTTTTTTTTTTCCTCTCTTTTTTGGGGATGTGTGTGTCTGGGGCTGGCTTTGGGGATAGACATGGAGAATTTAATTTAAAAAAAAATATATATAAAAGTAACGATAGGGAAAGAAATCTCAAAGCACCGTCCTCAAACATGCCCGGGGTCTTTTCCCGAGCCCCTACACCCTCACCAACCCCAGCGAGACCCACGGGCGTGCGTGGATGCGGAATGCAGGCGTGGATGCGGGATGCAGGGATGAGATTAGCATCCCCCCCCTACACACACACACCCACTCCCCCCGCCCCCAACTTGTTGGGAAAACTTTGGGAACCCCCATCTCCGAAAAGATGGAGCCGTTCCGGGATGCGGCTTCACCCCGTGGCCGCCCCCCGGTCCCGTTCCCCCTCCGCGGGGGGCGGCCACGGGCTGGGACCCGGCTCCGCTCTGGCATCACCTCCCCGAAGCATTTGGGAGCGTTTTACCCTCCCCCCCCCAAAAAAAAAGAAAAAAAATATTTTTTAGTTTCCTCTTCCTCTCCATCCTCATCCCCATCCCACGGCGCGGTCCCCGCTAGCGCGACGCTTCGTGGGACCGTGGGGGGTGGATGTTTGTCCCCTCCCCACGCAGACACCTCCTTGGAGTCGGAGTTTTTCGGGATTTCGAGGCGCTGTGCTGCGTTTAACCCGTTTCTCCCGGAGCGTGGTGGCCCCCTCCCCACGGTACGCGGGGGAGGGGAGGGGGCGTTGTGTCCCGCGTGGGGCCTGGGTGTGCGTGGGCGGCTGCTCAGGAACGGGCTCTCCTGCGACTCTGTTTGTGGGGGGAAAACTACTCGCTTTGCCTTAAAACCTCTTTATTTTGCAGCTATAATAGACACACGTTGTACATAGTAGTATAAACTTAAAGAAAAAAAAAGAAGGAAAGAATCAAACTATAAAATAAAAACTGTAATTTTAAATTCTGTGAATAACCATCAGCTGCTTAGGAGCCAGGATTAAATGACATTGCCTTTTAGCAGGAAAGCAAAGGATTTTTTTTTTCTTCTCTCCAGTTTATAAAACGTGCGTTTTACAATTGCAGTATCAAATATTTATAATCGGGTGAAATATGAATGTTTCTATTTACAACTGTGCTCTCAACATTGTGAACATTCTCGCTGCATTTTGTGTGTTTCAATTCTCGAGGACTGCATTAAATAATAATTAAAAAAACCGACACCAACCCACTTTATTACGAAATACAAACCGTGTCACCCAGGCGTTGCAATGGAGTAGTGCTATTCGGGACTATATATCCCTCTATGTTGATATAGTCTCTAGATTGCACTTCTGAGCACTGGAGCTCGAGTTAGAAGTATTTCGTAGTTTCTGCTATTTACAGGGGGGGTAAATTCCGTGGCGATTGATGAGAGAGGTGCTTTTGCAGCATCAGCCTTTTGACTTAATGAAGAAACTTTGGGGGATTCATTTCTAGATGAAGGAGAGGGCAACCGCCAGCCGTAGCTGAGCCCGGCTCTAAGGCGTTCGTCGTGTTAAAAAGGATCTGAAAACGGAAAAGAAAATCTCTTTAATCTCACGTACTGTCAACAGGTTTCACCTTTTCAAGACTTTAAATACCCGGTGGCGTGATGCTCTGGCGGGCTGCGTTTGGAAAACCTCTGCTAGATAAACACGTAACCCTGGAGCTCGGGAAGAGGTGATGGGAATATTGCCGATGCCACGCTACGAAACCAAGCACCCTCTAAAATACTTGGCATCCCCGGGAAAGTGAGAGTCCCACGATTTTAGGGCGGGCTGGACAAAAATAAAACGTTCACCCGCCTCGCTGCAACAAAGGGCACAAGAGCTCCAAAATAGTTCAGCCCATTTTCCGCAGGCAGGAGGAGAAGGGAGCAGGGGGCAGAGCCTCCCCCTCAGGGCCGGCTCCTGCTGCAGGAGCCGCACTCACGGAGAAAACCAAGGGCGGAGGGGGGGGTCGTGTTGAAAATTTTAGTTTCTTTCTTTAAAGCCGCTGCTTTGGGATATGTTCTGCAAGGGGCACAATTCTGCAGGAGCGGAGATGCCGCTGGGAGGGTGCAGCGAGGGGTTCACCTGCTCGGAGAAGTTGAGCCGCGACCGGCGGTGGGGGGATGCTACCGGCCTTTATTCCTCCAGCCTTTCTAGTTTACGTGCCTTTGAGGAGATTTTTTATTATTATTATTGGTCACCTCCATTAATGGAGGCAGGTGATTTATAACCCCGAGGGAGAAAATCGGTGGCGGTGGGCACTAAAGAGGAGTTTTAAATCTGGATTGAAAAATAGCTCCGGTTGTCCGATGGGACAAAACGGTACCCTGGGTGTGTTACACACCGGCGGAGAAGTCCCACGAAGATTTTATATTTTCTTAAGAAGTCACGAAGCCTGCACCGGGGGAAATTTTGGCCCTGCTCCTGAGTGTGCAATGGGGCAAAGCTTCCACCTGTCCTTCCCCGGCCTGCAAGAAGCGCTGGGAACAGAAAACAGATGTGTGAGACCAGCGAGAATATGTATTTGGGTTTAGGGTAAAAAAAAAAAAAAATAGCAGGGAAACTTCTCTAAGTTAGTTCAGTCTCTGCAGCAAGGGCAGAAAATATCTCGCTGCTGCCTGGATTTTATCCAGAGCAGAATACAAAATATTTCCCATTGGTAAGCAGTGCCTTCAGCTGGGAGCAGCGAATGGCTTACATGGGCTGCACTCCTCACCTGCCTCCGATATTTTGGGGGGAAAGCTTTCATGGGGAGAGGCACAGGTTCGGAGACACTTGCTCTGCTGCTCCTTTCGCCATCTTTTGAGCTGCTGCTGGTTCCCGTGCGCCGCCCAGCCAGCGCTCCCACGCCCGGGCAGCGGCTCCCCGCTGGCTCGGGGAAGGACAGCACAACTAAATTAGCCCTCGTTAATTTAAAATTTAAAATTAATTTAACAGAAAGAGCCGCCGCACAAGCGCCTCTTGCAATTTTAGCAAAGCAGCAGCACCTTGCTGAAGCAGCCTCTTTTTTTTTTGGGGGGGGGGGGGGAGGCAAGACCACAACCCCAAACCGCACAAACCCCGAAGCCAAGCCAAAGCCTCCAGCCCCCCAAAACCCGGCTGCGTCGGGGCAGGAGCAGGCAAGGGCAGAGGCAGGGTCGGCCCTGGAGTCAACCACCGCCTGGCAGCATTTTTTTCCTGGCAGGCAGCTCTCTGCTAGCCGGTCCGGCTCCTTCGCCTCCAGCCAAAGCAGCAGAGTCCCACTAAAGAAAAAATAAAAAATAATAATAACCAACCCAGGGAAGTATTTCAGGGCCGAGCAAAAATACATCTGCACTTCCCCGGCGTCAACCAGCCCCTCCGTGTAATTAATTAAGCGTATTTTTTCCGTAACTCTGTTCAATAAGCGTCTGAGCACTAAGGTTTAGTGAAGGTGTTCCTCCGCTCCGCTGTGTGTTAATGCAGTACATCGTACATGCGATATCCAAACCCATACCCAGGCACTATATATGCAAATGCCCACGCCATTTATTGTGAAATGCATATCAGAGTTAGAGGGGGAAACTATTTAGCTAGCTCGGATTTGTGGAAAAAAAGTAATTCTGTATCCCGCTGATTTAATATCCGACCTCCGCATTCAATCCCCGCCCATGCAGCTATCAAAAGTACCCCTGGGATGTTTGGATATCATCTCCAAACTAACATCTGTGATTATGAAACGCTCAGAAGGGGAAGGTTAATAACAATTTGTTTCAAAGGGCCACGAGTCAATTTTATAAACAAATCGTCTTGCCTTAAAAACAAACAAACCAACCAAGTCGGGGCCCCCCCCCCCCCGGGTGGGGGCTGTAACTGGGTGCTCGGGGCAGGATTTGTGCCCTCTTCCCACGGGGATGGAGCTGGAGAAGCCCGGGATGAGCCCAGGAGCAGCAGCCGGGGATGGCCGGGGGTGCAGGGGGGGGGAGAGGTCTCTCCTCCGACAGCCCGGGGGATGCTCGGTGACACCCGTGGCTCCGGCAGAAACGCACCCAGACGCGTGTGGGGAGCCGAAGGCAGTCCCGGTTTTTCTTCGCAGAAAGACGGGACGGTCCCTGGTAGCGGAGCTGGGCTTTGCACCGCTGGGGA